CATGTGACAGCATGTGAGAACATGTGAGAACATACATGTGAGAACATGTGAGAACATACATGTGAGAACATACATGTGACAGCATGTGAGAACATACATGTGAGAACATACGTGAGAGAACATGTGAGAACATACATGTGAGAACATACATGTGAGAACATACATGTGACAGCATGTGAGAACATACATGTGAGAACATACATGTGAGAACAAACATGTGAGAACATACATGTAAGAACATGTGAGAACATGTGAGAACATACATGTGAGAACATGTGAGAACATACATGTGACAGCATGTGAGAACATACATGTGAGAACATACATGTGAGAACAAACATGTGAGAACATACATGTGAGAACATACATGTGAGAACAAACATGTGAGAACATACATGTGACAGCATGTGAGAACATACATGTGAGAACATACATGTGAGAACATACATGTGACAGCATGTGAGAACATACATGTGAGAACATACATGTGAGAACATACATGTGAGAACATACATGTGAGAACAAACATGTGAGAACATACATGTGACAGCATGTGAGAACATGTGCTGTCACTGAGCATGCCTCAGTGTCTGTGCAGGAAACTGTGAGAGAAAACTGTAGTTCTGGTCGTGAACATCGTTGATGTTCAGTCCTGACCCACATCTGGGTCTTTCAGGAGAACTGCTGGAACACGTCAGAACTGAAGACAGGCAGGGTGGTCATCATGACCCTGGACATGTTCTGTCAGAGAGGAGACCTGTGAACATGAAACTTGTGCTGGAGGTTCTACAGCAACATTCAGTTTGACACTGCTGTTGACCTTTTGAGACCTTCAGCCCAGAGAGGGTCCAGTTTGAGATCGGCTGATGAACAGGAAGTTTCCAAACTGGTGACATGTCCCTGGGTCTTCACAGCTGTCCTGGACATATGCAGTGATGCCTTCAGGTGCTTCAGCCCTTTAAGTTGTCACCTCGCCTGAGTGACCTTCCAGTGTCCAGTTCAATCAGGTCCTCAGGAGGATTCTTCTTGTAGAAACGTTTCGTCTCTCATCCTGAGGACTTCCTCAGTCTGAGGTGCTGTATTCAGCTCAGTCTCTTAAATAGCACCTTCTCAGAGTGGATCAACCAGTTTGCTGCTGACAACCAGAACCAGCTGATCACATGCTCAAGAAGGACCATCAGCCTAACAATGGATCATTAGCACCTGATGGCTGTTTACTGTTCACAGAGGGCTGAGTGATACTAGCAATCACAGCATTGTAAGAGGGGGACAGTTGAACCCGGAGGCTCCACCCCTGTTTAATGATGGACAGTTGAACCAGGAGGCTCCACCCCTGTTTAATGATGGACGGTTTCTTTTCACAAAGATGGCCTCCTT